TTTTTTTACTTTAAACTCAGAACTCTAATACATTTTCCCACATTTGGCTCTAATCGTCTTCCATAGTTTACTTTGTGGTGTATTTTGAAGTAGGTGCCCTTGTGTAGAAATGATGTAATATTCAATATAAACTGCTGTTTAGGTTCTCAGCAGCAGCCCAAACCAGACAATCAATCGACTAGTCCTCTTCAGTAGAATACTACATGTCCCATAATGCACTTCTACGTTCCCACATATTCAGTTCTTGCACGGGACAAATGTTTATTGTCGTCTGTTCCCGTCATGTACGGAGAATTACAGACAATATGTCTGTATAATAATTGGGTTGGTCTTGTCCACCCAGCTAAAGGTGAACGTTTGTTTTAATTAGAAGTAGAGGGAGCCAGGATAGAGGGGAGGAGTCAAGGAAACAGTTTAGGCTGAGGCAAAGCGGAGCGGCACCGACGGCAGCGTCCGAGACCTCTCCTCAACAGGTAACTCAGCTGAAGCCGTGTGAGTACTGCTCAAATGTATTTGAATGTTCATTCATTCATTTAGACGACATACATTACTAATTAGTGACGCGTAACACACATGCTTGTATTTATTAAGTTAAAGTAAAGTAGGAAGATGTGGTGTTAAGTTTAAATCTGCACAGCCCAATAGATTCAGCTTTAATTGCGTTAACCTGAAAGCGTTCACCTTTCAATTAAAATTGCGTAGATAACGTTACAATTTGTACTCCGTCGACAAGAATCATTCCGTACGTAGTTTGTTAGCTTATTAACTTCTCACTGTCTAGCTGTGGTATTACGTTAGCTAGCACATATAAAGTGAACTTTAATCACCTATAACGTTAATAATGTCTTGTTTTTGCTATTCCTGTGGCTTCGTTGCTATAACTGTTAATAATGTGAGTAGTGGGAGGGGGTCTGCTCCAGAAAACAGGCCTGTACCGGGGTTAGCCCAGCTGGCAGGACTTTAAACTGTGTACATAGTGGTCTGTTAACGTTATGTCTACCCTCCATGAATGCATTAGCATGCTAAGTGTCAGCCCACTCTTTAATAAGTTACATGCTGTGGAGCTGTGGTAGCTGTGGATACAGTTCTAAGCAACTGCTCGGTAATAATCACATATAAACACAGTGTTGGGGTAAAGTACGGTGGTACAGTGTGTGTCCATGCTTGCAGCTCTCCTGAATGAGAAAAGCTTTCTCATGCAGGCCTCTGGTCAGCCCTGCTCTTTAACAGTAATCCTGTCAGCTGGCCACAAACACAACAGTGGCACTTTAGTTGTTTCTGCTGACACATTGTTCTGCAGATAAAGTATTAACTGTTCAGTCAGGTTAGTGTCAAATGTTTTTGTTGTTTCCTATAAACTTGTTTTCCTAAATTTAGTGTTTGTAGTTTACCGTTCCACTCTTTGTTCTGTCTTATACAGTATTATATGACTTATAGTACATCATATCATTCAGTCACATATCATTATTTAACAATAGATGCTTCACTGTCTCATTCATCCCTCTCCTTTGTATTTTCTATATATGTATCGCCAAAGCTTCATGGGGGGGTAGCAAGGCCTTCTTGATTTTAAGGCGTGTAAGAACACTATAAAAAATATACACAGGGGCCTCTTTTTCAGCATCTGGTTCACTTAAAGTAAATGTAAAGTGTCTAATAGAACAATGGCCAATTTTCAGGAACAAGAAAACACTGAATTTGTCAAAAATGAAGCCTAGTAAGTATGTAAAATGAAATACACAACGCTGACAGAAAATGGCCTAAACAGGAACTACATTTATTATTAAAGGCAAAATAACACATTTGCTCATTCTTTAGAGGTGCAATTATGTTTGTGGTCAGGTTTTATTGAATTTGTCCTATGAAAATCATTCACACAAGACAGGGATTCTTGTACATACAAACAGCATATAACACAAACTATACACATATCAGCTTTGCCTTGCAAAGAAGAAGAAAGAAAGACGAAGAGAAAAAAAGGGGGGACATTAGATCATGTGTGTAAGTCTTACATGCTATAAAAGACACATTCTATCAGTGTGAGAAAGTGTTTGAACCCATGAGGATATCCCAGGCTGCTACAGTGGATTCTCACACTTTATTAATTACAGCTAATGATCTTTCTATGTGACCAATATCTCTAAGAGGATTCAATCTTTTATTGGCGGAGGGTCTGTAGAGAACCATGAGTGTATTACAGTCTTTTGGGCAGCACTTAATATCACTGACAGCAAAGTCAAGCAAGGAATCAAAGCAAGGGATTTAGGAATTGTGAATTCCAGGATATGTTCAAGCTACTTAGCCACCTTAGACCAGAGAGCAGATATACAGTAGAAGGGCATTCCCAAAAAACATGAATGACTGATTATTATCATAACAAATATGGTTAGCTCAGTTTTGTTGACAAAACATCAACACATTTTAATGTATTATTGTTAATGATGTTTTGGCCAGGTAAAATATCTGTTGCTTCATTCTAATGACATCTCTTCCTTGTTCCCTGTGCACACCCATCAGTGCAGACACTAAGCACCATGTTCACAGAGGTGCTTGTCGCTCTGCTGACTGGAGGACTGATCTACTTCCTGGTTCGGAAGAACAAGATCCAGGTTCTGAAGACAGAGGATGGCTGGTGGGGGGCCGGAGCACCAGCCAGTGGTGGAGAGGATGTCACCATCCGCCCCTTTAAAGTCGCCACCAGTGATGAAGAGCTGGAGGTTAGAGTCCCTCTTAGTTTGCTGTTCATGGTAGTCACGCCATAGCATTTACTCATGAGGTAGTTAAGCACGAAACAGGATGAAACATTCTGTCATTTTCTGTCAGGACCTGTACAGGAGGATAGACCAGACTCGCCCTGTTCCTTCCCTAGAGGACAGCCAGTTTAATTATGGCTTCAACTCCCAGTACCTGCAGAAGGTGGTCTCTTACTGGAGAAACGACTTTGACTGGAGGAGACAAGTTGACAAAATCAACCAGTACCCCCACTTCAAAACCAACATCGAGGGTGAGGTTGCACTGCTGACACGTTCATGAAAAACACATTGTCCTACCTCTCTAACCTGCTCTTATTCATCGATCTTCCATCCAGGCATTGATATCCATTACCTGCATGTGAAACCCAAGACGGTGCCAGAGGGAACCGCTGTGATTCCCCTGATAATGGTTCACGGCTGGCCTGGCTCCTTCTATGAGTTCTACGGGTTGATCCCTCTGCTGACGGAACCATCAGACCCAGGTGACCTCGTGTTTGAGGTGGTGTGTCCCTCTATACCAGGGTATGGTTTTTCTGAAGCACCACACAAGAAAGGTGAGTTTTATCTTGCAGGGATTGGAAAACATTTACACTAGATCACCAATATCATAAACCTTTTTCTCTTGCAGTGGTATTGTTAATACTATAGTTCACTGTGCAGTAAAGAGGAACAAAAATGTTTTGTGCTTTTTGTCATTTCAACCATAGAAATACAGATGAATGAACCATCATTTATCTCAGGACCAGGGTATAATTACGGTCAATAGAAGAGTGTAATTATGCACAGATCACATGTATGAGCAAGGCTATTCATATTTAAGCTTTAATGAAGAGAGTAACGGTTGCACACTGACTCCATTTAATCCCAGGTTTTGACTCGATGAAGACCCAACTGGGAGTGTCTAATTACAAAAACAACCCAAACACATCTAAAGTTCATGGCTGCATCAAAAACCTGAGTGCATATAAAGAGCTGAGTTTGTTCAATTAAAGTGCACGTGCCTGAGTAAATAGTAAGCAAGTAGGAATATTTTAAGACTATTGTATGAGATTATTTTGTCTTTAGTTCTTTATTTGTGCTTATAATAAGAACAAAAGAGAAGAAATGTATAATAATATATAAACATACACAAGAGGGATGGGGAAAACACCCAGGGTTTGTAAAAGGAACCCACCTAACATTGAAATTAAAGACACAAATTTACATTTAAATGTATCTAGGCATATCTAGTAAGCTGGTTACTCAGTGTATATACAGTACATATACAAAATGTACAAACTAGCTTTAAAAATGATACACAGTGAATGTTGTTTGAACAGGGCTTTCTACATGATTAAGTAGTATAGTTAATTTCCTGCCAAATCAACTGCATATTCATTTGGGAACATTCCTATATATATTCTAAATGTGTGTGTGGACAGGTTTTGATTCAGTTTGTGCAGCACGCATCTTCCACAAACTGATGAGGCGTCTGGGCTTCCAGCAGTTTTACGCTCATGGAGGAGACTGGGGCTGGCTGGTCACCACCAACATGGCTCAGCTGGAGCCAACGTAAGACACACAAGAACTTCATTTCACATCATTTGGACTTTTTACTCCATGTTGTATGCACACAGTGAACTAGACAGCCACCTGTCCTGGAAACACCAGATCTTTGATGATATCTATATGTTTATGTATTTCTGTACACTTTCTTACCCCAGGACAGTCAATGGTTTGCATGTGAACTTCGCCCCGCCCTCCAAGCCGACGCTGCCCATAGTTTTTTCCATCATGCTCGGCCGTCGCTTCCCTAAGCTGTTTGGCTTCACTGACATAGACATTCAGCGTCTCTTCCCCCCCACGGAGAAACTGGTGGTGGAGTCCATCAAAGAGTCCGGCTACATGCACATCCAGGCCACCAAGCCTGACACCGTAGGTAAGGACCCACTGCGCCTATTTGCAACATCAGATCATTTCCTCTCGTGTTTATCTTGACACGTTTAACAGATCAGAAAAAACAGGATGCTGACACCATATGTGATCTGCATGTAAGAAGAGCTCGCTTTTCTGTAAGGAGCCCCAGGAACAGAAGCCACATCACCATAGGGGAAGCAAATTCTACTTTCAGCTGTCCCAGACTTAACAACCATTGTTCCAACGTAGAAAAAAAAGTTCTTTTCCATTCTACATTTTAAACATAGCATGAATATAACTTTGTTTCAGTAACACGCATCACTTCATTGGCTCACTCTGGTCTGCCATGGAAGTTCTGCTGGTTGTGTTTTGCATAATCAGTGCATCCATTAATGCATCACTGCAAACTGCAGCGCAAATGCAAACCTCTTTCTGATTGGTATACACCCATAGAAATACATAATAATCACAAACTCACTGCAGGGACATTGTTTATTTGAAGTAAAAAGGTTAAACAAACCTACAAACGGACAGGGAAGGTCAAACAAACTATTTAAATATTTACAAGCTCAAAATAACTATTTACATATAAGATATAGGCACACCCTAATCCAGAGATCCGGAGAGAAGGTGCTAGTTTTATTGTCCCCGGGACCTCTTTAATTTCGAGCGCTGTCTGTGAGTGCACTTTTAGTGATCCTGCTCCTATGAGAAAATTGCTCTTAGTCCTCTAGACTGACTTCAGTAGGGTTTAAATGGATTATGTGATTTAGGTCAACTGATCCTTTAAGACCACAGATTTACAATAAAAACAAATGTACAATTATTTTGAATCAAGTCATTTGGGACTCTGGATTCCCCTTCAGGTCGAGGATTGAATGATTCTCCGGTGGGTCTGGCTGCCTACATTCTGGAAAAATTCTCCACGTGGACGAGCTCTGACTTCAGGAACCTGGAGGATGGAGGAGTCACCAGGTACAGAGCAGAATAGAAGGGCGTCATTGCTGATATTTGCCATCACCAACTCCTCCATTATAAAAGGATATTATTTGGAAAAGGTTTTGCTTTAATCAGATTTGATATTGATGAATGATGACCTCCTACAGTGGGTAACACTCAGTAGCCTCATAACCAAACCTTTACTGTCATTACTGCAATATGAAATCTTGTGTGCCTTGCAGGAAGTTCTCTCTGGACGATCTGCTGACTAATGTGATGATCTATTGGACGTCTGGCTGCATCATCTCCTCCATGAGGTTCTACAAGGAAAACTTTGGCCAAGGCCTCGACGCACCTCACACTAAGTGAGTTTGATGTCACACTTCCATTGTATTGGTGCTTAAAGAACAGATGTAGAAACTTAATTTTGTGAACTTATTTGTCTGTTTAATTTACTGCACATGTAGCTACAAAACATGAGTCCTGAAGTCATCAAGTTGTAACAATTTTTGCAGGGTATTTTATCATCAGTCGATTTTGCTTGATTTTTCTTAAAAAGTTTGAATTTGGACATGTTAAAAGCTCAAGAAACCCTACTACTACTGTATGTCCATTGGCATAAAAGTTGTTTTCTCTTCACAGGATACCAGTGTGCGTCCCCACTGGGTTCGCGTGCTTCCCCAACGAGCTCATGCACTCTCCCAAGCTGTGGGTCAAACAGAACTACCCTAAACTCGTGAGCTACACGCACATGGCCCGTGGCGGCCATTTTGCTGCCATGGAGGAGCCCCAGCTGATGGCCGAGGACATCCAGAACTTCATTAAGACAGTGGAGAAGAAGAAGAAATAGAAGATGATCAGGTGAAAGAACTAAACGTACAGTATGAAAGTATTGATAAGCTGATGGGATAAGCAAGTGGAGCACAATGGTGAGCAGTAAGTAGACATATACACCAAATCTTGATTCTAGGCAGTGAAGTAAGTTTCTCTTTGTGCTGGAATCAATGATATAGGGTAGTTCTGTTAGTTAAATCCCTTATCATAATTCTTCATGATTGAGCCTTATGCAGTGTTGCACTTTTTTCATTGGCTTGGGCTCATTCTCTGTGCAACTGTCACAAATCTATCTTGTGTCTGCAGAAGGTAGTAACTCACATAATTGGCCATAGTCACCAAAATGAATGGATGAATTGGATCGTTTATATGAAGACATTTTTATTACATGAAGGAGACACGTTCACATCCTTTAATGCTAATCCAAGTACTGTTCGACTTGTTTATATAAGCACAATAGTAAATTACAAAAAAAACCATTTCTTTCTGCAAGTGGAAGGTTGCTGCAGGCTTGCTCACCAGCAGCCACATCACTAGTCCCTAACAAACTCACAGCTACACCTGTCAGTGCAGATTAAAGTCGGAGAGTTTCCTCCAAACTTCCCTCAGCCTTGTAGTCTTGAATTGTTTACAAAGCAGCTGCAGATGGGAGGTCAGGGGGTTGCTTGTTGTTATTGTGTTGACAGTTTGGTCGAGGTGCCAGGCATTCCTCTGACCGATAACAGGAAACCTCTTTACCGAAGCTACAGCCATGCCCCCACGTTATCGGCTTAACCCACTGAATTATGTTTCATTTTGCTGTATTTTTCCCTCTGAGCTTATTCAGAACTTATTTTAGTATTTTAACGCTCTGATGAAGTCAGATTTCTTTAATACATTACACAGTTAACACATTTTGACAGCTTTTGATTTATTTGCTTTATCAGTTTTACATTTTGCCTTATGGTGGACTTTGATTTGCTACAAAAACTAGAAGCACTCATATTAATGTCCTTCGTTAAAGTTTTTGATATTCAGAAATCTGATAATCATCATAAGATCATGTTGGTCTTGACAAAGTTGAATACGATCTGTAATGCTGTTTGACAAGTTTTTTCTGAAGGTGATTTACTTAAATGATGAAATGTATTTGGTTTTATTAAAAAGAGTGACCTGGCCATTCGGAATGTATCTCTGGTAAAATAAAAGCCTTGGAAATGTAGTCACCAGAGGTGTTTTGTCAACTTCTGAAATGCCATTTTATTTCACAATAATGCCAAAATCTGATCTTTCCCTTTATAAACAATGCAGTTTAAAATAAATCGGAGTGTATCCTAACATTCCAGGAAGACCAGAATGACATGTTGTATCTCAGATTGTGGCAGGCACAGTGTTATTTTTGACCAAATAAAACTGACACTGAGTAGAGCACTGTTTTAAGTGTTATTTCAAACTGTTTCGGAGACATCTACAGAGCTCTTCATTTACGACTGTGCAGTTCCTGGAGTTTAACCCTGGATTTAACAATCACGATAACTGCACATTTAAACCACAGAGGCACAGATAACATTAATTTTACAAGATGATGGGAGCTTAAGAAGACAGCTGTGACGTTCACCTCCACAGAGAAGCGCATACAGAGTGGATCTTTACACTTGAAATGGTAGATTGTGGTAGTACTGAACTGGTTCTCAACTGTGTAATAAAGGAAAAATCCACTTACTTTCCCAGTGAAAATAATGAACAAATGCCTCTTCAAAAAGTTGTTGGGTAAAAGAACTGTTGCACAAATGACACTCAAATCTGCCCTGATGGGGGTACTAAAGGGTTCTTTATTCACTCAGGTTTCAGTTGCAGAAAACTCAAAATCACTTTCGGTCAGAAACGAGAGAGACAGCAAAGAAACCTCAATGGGGCCTAAAGACCAGAGTTTCTGACAGAATGTTAAATGCAGTTAAAACAGGAACTTCTAACGTTGGTAATGGTAGACTGCCAAACAAAATCACATCACCACTCACATCATAAATGATTGATAAAGTCTGACTTGTGGCCATAGTGAAATGAGATGAAGGATTGCCATTGTAGAGCTTAGGAAAAAATAATGTGTCTCAAAAAGTGGGAGCATAGATAAAGACTTAAGCCGGGCTCAGACTACAGGGGTTTTGGCCCGATTTACCTCAGATCCATCCCTCCCGACAATTGGAGAACGTCTAGGTTGATACCAATGTGAGGGGTTTACAGATGCAGTCTTTTCAAGGCGCTGTAATGCGAGTCGGTTTTTGTTAAATGTTAAATAGCTCTACATTCCGACAGCCATCACTGATATATAGTGTTCAGTCAGTAACATGGGTCTCCCAGTCCCTCCTTCCTGCAGTAAACCGAGAATACATTACCTGGTATCCCGTTCCAACTTTATCCAATCAGGAGAGAGAACTCCACAAAGTGCAGGCAGCAGAATTTCAGTGTGATGACGAGGGGAGTGTGAACTGCAAGAACGGACAGGAAGTTAGCCAAAATGCAGATTTCGCTTACAGCACCCTTAAGTTAACTAACCATATAGCAAGTTAGCTTGCAATAGTAACAAACAGAAGCTTTAATGAAACTTGATATCTGTAACATGGGCAAGTGAAAATCTAGGACTTAAATGGACTTCATGACATTCAAATATTGCCCGTGGTCAGCACAAGTGAATCAGATTGTTCTCTTCATTCTATCGTGATGAGGTTGATGCTGGAAAGCCCTGAATATACAAAATGCACTTCGGCCCCTCTTTGGTAATGTTCAATGTCGTACTGCTCCAAGCTCCCAATCCCGCCGCTGTCCAGTTGTTAGCTGAACTGTGAGTTTCCCAAGCCCCCCCCCCAGTGCCCTGGCTCGGGACATCCTCCAAGTGATGCACTCCTCCAGGCCTGACTGCCTGCCTGCCTTGCTCTTCTTGGCAGCCAAACAGCCAGGGGAGGATCGGGACGACCAGGCGGCTGAGATAAGGACCGCATGAAGTTCCCCACATTACCTCACCCGATAAGGAAACAAGCAGAGAGAGAGAGAGAGCGCTGGGAGGGATTCTTTCGATGGACGGTGATGCGCAGAGAGGCAGACGGTGACTGTGGGGTTTATACCAGTTGTTAAGGGGTGTGGGTGGGACTCGGGGTTCCACAGAGCCCTGGTGAACTCTGGGAAGGAGCTTGAAGATGCTTGAACAGACTGGTCCTCAGCAGCTACAGAGAAAATGAACACAGAATAGATTGTTTATACTTTTCTTGAGATCAGATGAGTGATTTCAGCTGTTCCAGAGCCAGTATTTCTGAATCTATTTTTTAAGATGCTTTCAGATTAGATGGAAAGATGACGTCAGACTGCGTGTTCAGTATTTACCAAAGCACTTAGTGGAAGATACAACAATTTCCAACGAAGCAAACTTCCATCCAGCCAATGAAAATAGACTGAACCAAAGTAAAATAAGTTCTTAAGTCTTCAGGAGAGTCTGCTGCAGCGCTTTGGCAGCATCCATGGCGGTGAATCCTCTGGAAGGTCTCATGTCGGTCGCAGCGAGCCACCAGCTGGTCTCCAGCTCCACAGCGGAGGCGCAGAGGCAGCGGCCATGTGCGGCCGGCAGCCTGGCGTCCCTGCACGGACACAGGCAGAGCGTACGTAGCAGCCGCCAGCCGAGAAAGTGGGTGAGTCTGAATTCATAGTCTGAAACTCAAGCAGATTTGGCTAATTCTGAGCAGCCAGAGGGATGTTGCACAACCTCCGTCACAATTTGAACATACCAGGAAACCATAGAAACTGCTCGCTTGAAGTTTGTTTTGTTCATAAAACCAGTCAAATGTAATCTCATAGAGGAAAATTATGGGACACATTTCTCCCTTTCCCACAGACTGATTCACAGGTTGTTAGACTGTAGCAGCATGTGTGGAAGATGGAGGAATCTATCCTTTATCATTCCATGGTCATGATTTAAAAAGTTGAAATTTCTGGTAATTCTCATTGGTAAGGCTCCCTACCGCTAACTTATGAGTATGATGTGGAAAGTTGAAGATGAGTGGAGTTTAAGATCCCTTTTTCATTTGATGGAAACATTAAATAGATGACCTGTGGATGATGCATGACTAAAACTGATTTGTCCTTATTTTGCCTGTTTTGTGTGGACACACATGTAGCAGTCCAGATAAATGATGAAATGAAAGAGTTAAAATGCACCCCTCTCTATCTATCTTTTCTCTATTTTTAAACATACACTAAAGAAACAGCATCAACATAACACATAAAGACATAAAGACAGTTTATTCTCTCGCAGTATAAATAACTTCAGAAGACTAAAATACTCAAAAGTATCTTATAACTACAAGCACAAGTTATCCATTTTCTTCATAATTTATGACATCATTTCCAAAAGCGTATTTTAGTCCCATACATGTTGGTAAAATGTATTTTGTTAAGTGTGTATGTCTTACACATATAAATGACTAATGAAAGATTGAAATGAAACAGTAAGTGATGAAATCACATTGCACCTTTTAGTTTACTGCACGCATTGCTGTATGTGTATAATTCACATTGCACTAGGAAGTTATATTTTAGAATGATCAACACAAGTAAAAGGATATTTCTCATATTATTATAGTGTCAAATCAAGTTTATTTAATGTTGCTTCCAAATTGTCTGTACCACTGGATTCTAATGTCTCTGCAGACTCCAAGTACAGTAACTCTGCAATAAATAGATAATTTTAGTATTTTATAACTTAAAGCTTAAGCAAAACATTCCAAACCGGTTGGGCCTATTTAATTAAATTACATTTTTATTTTGCTGTCATGCAGAAATTTCAGGATCTAAACATGTCCTCCACTACAGGTGCAGTCTGTGTCTGGTTGTGGTGGGTCTGCTGTCCAGTCCAAGACACTGAGGGGTCAGCACTCCCCCGAAAACGCAGCGAGAGAGAGGAGCCGTGTACGAAACTTGCGACAGGCCTTCCACAGCCTGCAGGTACACTACACTTTATGAATTAATGAATGAAGTAATTATGTAATTAACTCAATTATTTGTTGTGCTACAAAGTTGAAAATGTATCCGTGTGGCTCCTGCCTCAGCAGAAATTTTGTTTTTCAACAGGAATAAATTCCTGTCTTACCTTTGCCCCAAACCTGACCACCTTAAGCTAATAACTGTATTTAACCTAAAAAGACATTTTATGTTCTGTCTACATCTTCTCTGTTCTCTGTGGTGGTTTAGGAGCAGATTCAGTCACTTTTTCAAAGACCTGTGAAGGATAATCAGTCTACTTACTGGGCCACACATCCCACCCTGGCTTATTATATGCAGCACGCATTGTTGTTGATTTATTAAAGAGACAAAAAAACTCTTAAAACTAGGCCTGCATGTTAAGAGATTTCAGATTTGACAAGCATATTTGTGTTATGTGCAAAATCCTTTTGAACTCATATGAATGAATGCAGTCCGGTAGAGAGAGTTGAAAGAGAGCTGTCTGTCCTCCTTCCTCCTCTGTCCTCAGGCTGCTCTTCCCTCAGTCCCACCAGACACTAAACTGTCCAAGCTGGATGTTCTGGTTCTGGCTACTAACTACATAGCTTACCTAACAGAGACCCTGGACCAGGGAGGGATGCTGGCTGAGCACACCCTGCCATCGAGGCCGGGTGGATACCTGCATCCTGTTAAGGTAAGGACAGGAACCGACAGCTTACTGCTTGTTATTTTACTGAATGTTAGACATGACCTGCTGGATACACAGATATTACCTTTAGATAACTAGATAATTTTTGCTAACCATAAGTATATAAAACCATTAATATTACCTTCAGATAACTTGATAATTTTAGCTAAATATAAGTACATAAAACCACTAATATTACTTTGAAAAAGTAGCTAATTTTAGCGAATAATAGGCACATAAAACCACTAATATTACCTGTCAATAGCTATCTAATTTTAAACAACACATGGCTGCTGCTGGTTAAGTTCTGAGCTCCCAGTATTGAATTTCTGTGTAGTTACACTGGCTATTGTACTGTTGAACTTTTTTTAACTCACATCTGTTCTCATCTGGATTATGGCAGCTGGATAGTCAGGACAATGTTCAGAGACTTTAATAAGAAAATCAAACTGAACAATAAAAGTAAAGGGGACAAAAACAGGATGTTTTGTGTTCCGCCCCCCAAAACCATTCACTGTGGACCATACTTTGCTCTTGTAAAACTGTAAGGTATCATATTGTTACATTTATCCAGATTAGTTTTGACTAGTTTGCTCACCTCATATGTTGGTGCCAACCATATTAGCATGAAGAGCTAACTCAATGTGCTGTCTCTCTCCTCAGAAGTGGCCCATGCGTTCCCTGCTCTACTGCGGCAGCGTGGGAGAGCTGCTATCAGGAGTCCCAGCCAATCAGATGCCTCCACCTGTACGGGATGGGACACACCCACTGACCCCCACCTCAGACAAAGCAGACAAAGAGTGATAGTAAAACATGGGACATAACTTTCACCCTGTCTCTTATCTCCAGTGTTACACAGCCATGTAGCTACACCAACTTCTCTGGAGACAAAGATCACTGACGGAAAGCAATTGATTGGTTTGCTCAAGCAAAGCAGAAACTAAAATCAAATCTTTTAGCCCCCCAAAAGAAAAAGGAAGGCACTATTTTGAACACTTTGGATGGATGATAAAACATACATTCTTGCAGTTTTTGGTTTATCTAATAATGAAGGACAGGGCTTAAATTAACCTGCAGCTACAAGGACAGTGGCCATTTTTAGCTCTGGCTGTTGCCTCTGACTAGTTTGTAGAACCTGACCGATATGGGATTTTGGATTAATCTGTGAAAAAGATTCACAGATTACCAATAATTATTCATTCAATTATTGAGCTGGAATGAAAGTAGACCTTTTCTATGTGGATTGTGCACCGATATGACTATACAAAGGTATTCAGAAGGCTGCTTTCTTAAACAAATACCTTTAATAAAGAATATTTAAGATCCCCCAGACATGTATTAAGACATATATACAAATAGTCTTCTTGGAACAATAATGTCTGTGTCTGATATGTTTTTTTCCCACAAAAAACATATCCTTTCCACATTAACATTCTTATACAAGAATCTCTTCCTTCTACCTCATTAAAACTTCCAGAATTTCTGAATAGGCAAATGTTTTCCTGCTGGACACAAGATGTCTCCTACTTCACTGTAAAGTCCATTCTCAGTCGATGTGCACTGGTGGATCACACTGTACAATTTGCATACTGGACCAGAACTGACTTCCAAACTATTTGTGATGTCACAAATCATGCTGGTAGGCCCCGCCCCTTAAAATCAGCTTTTCAATGAGCACAGAGAAACTACTTTCCACTTTCAGCAAGATGAAAGTGAAAACATCCTTCCTAGACAGTCAAAACCTCTGCACCAGACAGTCATTCAAACAGCAACAGCTGTAGGGGGAAAGAAGAAGCACTGATTTCCTGACTGGAGGGGGGACTTTAATTATTATGTTTACGTGTTAAATAATTTTAACCAAATACTTTCTCCACGCAATTTTATTGGTTAGAACCGCTGAGAGCTGCTCTCCTGCCTCTACTCCTGTGGTCCTTGCTAAGAGTGTTGAAATCAGTGCACTCCCCAGCTTGGATGAAAAACTTTGCAAGTGACACCAGTAATCATCCACACATGCGCATTATTTTCCGTGATATACCAGAAAAAAACAGTTTATAATTGGTGCATATCGGATAACATGCCAATACCCATATGTTTGTGGTAGGTCAATTTTGGCTGATAACTAGGCCAAGTGATATCGGTCAGGATCTACTAGTTTTGCAAAAACCTGGAAAGAAGTTGTTTTTCCCTGCCAGTATCAAACTAAGAGAACACACACAGGTTCAGCTAGACATAAATGGGTTAATATACACAGCGACCGTTTCTGGAAATATTACATTATTATCTGAGCATTAGACAGCAGGTTGTGAGGAGCGGGTTTAATGCGAGGAAATGAAAAAGCTGCTTCGTTTGAATAATTACACCACAAATCACTACATGGAGGAACAGTGTGTAACCTATTATCTTGATTTAAAGCTTGTACAGTGTTTTATATTATTATTTTTTTTCAGATGTTACTTTCACAGTATGGACGAGCTCAGGCACCCATGTGCTCTTTAAAAAAAAATAAAATGTTTCTTTGTTATCGTCTGACGCTTTTTATTTAGATGTTTGTGGTATCGCATGAAGTCAGTGTGTTTGTGTGTGTGTGTGTGTATGTGTGTGTGGGAGTGGAAGGATGGACAGACAGATGAGCAGTGAGGGAGGGATTGTTGTGGGAACACAGCTGCTGTCTGATTCCTCCATATCTCTACTGTAATGACCACTTAATTCTCATTACACTCTGCCACAGAATGTAACTTTTACTTTAAGTAAAACACCACCTGCAACAACAGCTCTGGTGTTGGTTCATCACGTATTCGAAAAACATCGTAGATGCAGAAAAAATCCCAGTGGTTACATTAAACCTGAGTGGGCAGTTAGAGCCTGCAGCTCTTAAAGGTCCAGTGTGTAAGCATTCAGAATGATCGTTTTGGCAGAAATGGAATATAATCATTCATAGGTATGTTTCATTAGTGTAATAATCAGCCTGAAATATAGGCAGTCATGTTTTTGTTACCTTAAGAATTGAGACCGTTTTATTACAGATGCCCACAGGTTCCCTCCATGGATCTGCCCTATGTTGAACCCCAATTTTCTACAGTAGCCTAGAACGGACAAACCAGACACTGGCTGTAGATAGGGCCTTTCACATTTTTTGTGAGTTTCAGGGCAACTGTTAGTTTGTCTTTTCTGGGCTACTGTAGAAATAGGGCGCTTCCTCTGTAGATTGAATATTACATTCCATTTCTATCTGGTTCCCAACACTTTTCCTTAAGGGACCCCCTTTCTGTCATTTAGTAAACTGACAAGTTTTATTTCATATTGTATTAAGAACTGTACAATGAACCCAAACAGTGAACTCTGTAACCTCAAGCAGTTTGTATAAAACGAGTGATTTGGATTAATTTTGAGCAGACTATTTCCCATTCAGGGAACTTTTATACAAAGTATATCCTGTATGATGTATTTTTGGATAATTTTTAACAATCATACAGACCTAATAGGCTTATTTTTTGACAAATTTAGTTTTTTATTGTCCGTGACTCTTGGCCATTGTTCCATGAGACCTTTAAATAAATGTATTATTTATTTACTTTTCTTTTGGAAATGAACCAACACACCAAGTGCTGAAATATAGACCTGCTGTGTATATTTTTTAAGTTTTCTAGCTAGGTCCCGATCCCCATGTTAGGAACCACTGGATTAAATCACTGGGTAGTGTTGGAGAAATTTTGAAAACTAATTTCATAATGATGTTAACCTGGTCACAGAGCCCAGATGTTGCATAGTTCTAGCTCAATGCTTTGCTGACTGATAAACAATTAAAAGCCTAATGTCCAAATTGATGCCTACATATTTAAACTACATCTATGCAGATTTTCAGTAATCATGAAATCATGAATTGATTCTTTTGTTGCATTCTTTTTTTTTTAGGAAACTCCTCTAGGGTTTTTGTCAGTGTGCATGCATTTTGTTGTGATATGATACTGTTTAGCTACATGCACCACTTTTTGAAAAGTCTGAATTCAAGATCTCAAACCCTTTTACATTAGCTTTCATTATCATGAAATCCCCCACAAATGGCAAAGAAACATTGATATTTTGTATATTTACAGCTCAAAAGTAAGTTTAGTTAAAAGTAAAATAAGTAAATCCAAAAACTAAACATTAGCACAGTTTGACTGGCTGAAAAAAAAAACTGTCTTTTTTTTTCACAGTATTTGTAGTTCCTGTATCTCAAACTATAATTCACTAAGTATCATATTTTGTTGCTGTGTGATTACACTGTATTAGCTGCGATGAGAGCTCAGCACTGACATCCAATCCAATAAGTCATATAGATATGTTTGTGGGGCGGATCGGAGAGGCCTACAACAGATGAGAGCTCAGACTAACTAAAATCATTTCCCCTGGAAGAAGATGGGCTCAGCTCCACGAGCAACAGATCAGCGTTCAAGGCTAGGTCTATAAATCTGTCCAGAGAGGGGGAAGGAGGGGGCTGCTGCCCCCGATATCCCTTGTAGTTATGACTAATTTGGAGCTGCTTGGAGTCTGGCTACTAAGGCAGAGGTTACAGAAGGACAGGAGAAGCCAGACAGTTTGGTAAAGCAACTGCAAGAGACTGACTAAGGTCAAATGAGAACCAGGACCAGGGTCGCAGCTGGCTGATACATGTGCATGTGCAAACTCTGCACATGTATGTGTCGAAAGAAAATACTGTATTTATAAATCTTTAAAAGGTTAATTGAGGTTTTTGCTGGAAAAAATGAAATGAAAAAACATTGCAAAAAGAGATCAACTTTACTAGATTCATGTCTTTAAAGGTCCAGTGTGTAACATTCAGAAGGATCTAGTGTCAAAAATGGAATATAGTATTCATAGGTATGTTTTGTCATTAGTGTATAAACACCTGAATATAAGAATTGTGTTTTCGTTACTTTAGAATGAGCTGTTTTTATCTACAGAGGGAGCAGGTCCTCTTCTATGGAGGCCGCCATGTTGAACTGCCATGTTTCTACAGTAGCCCAAAACGGACAAACCAATCACTGGCTGCAATTCAGGTGGTGGCGGAAATTTTGATATTCTATGGGTCTCACACATGGGCATGGCAGAATGGCTTGAAAGAGAGTCACATTTTACTAATATGTATGAAAATTGGTAAAAATTGGACCCATAGCCCAAACCCAGCAGGAAGTTGGCCATATTGAATTTCGTGGTCATGTTTGGCAATATGGCACGTTGTACTTTAACAAACTCCTCTTAGGGGAATTGATCGAACCGACTTCAAATTTGGTCAGTTCAGTCTAAAGACCATCAAGATAAAAAAAATTGTGACTGCGTCAAATGGTGTGTCTATGGCTTGCCGTGGAATTTTGATGTATTGCCATGAAACAGGAGGCTGTCATAAGTTTAGTATACATGATCCTATCTGCACCATACTCATAGATCATTGCTGATTGCAGCTTTAATTGTGTCAGATTTTTTCCCTATGAGTTTTAGTCTTCTGCATAAGGCATTCAGAAACCTAGCATTAACTAAATGCAGCCTTAACTTGGCATCTGCGTTGACTTTAAACAAGGTGTCGCTCATGGACCATTGCAAAGCCATCAAAGAACACTAACCCAGCCAGTATAACCAGGAACAACTTCAGTTGGGTGGATAACACACAGCTGGACCAAAAGGCCACACTCTATGGAATATATCATTCTTAGTGCCAAATATTTTAATCATTCCTTTCAAATAGAATATGGATTAAATACTCCATTATTCACAGCAGTTCTGGTTAATCAGAAAAATAAATTGCTCAGCGTGCCTACAGATTCTGATATAATGTAATATATACATTATATCAGAACATATAACAGTCACAGGTGCCTTTAAAGTGTGTATGTGTGTGTAAAGACAGCTATTTATGCCACTGGAACAGCTTCAAGAGAGTGTGTATCCAAACTGCCCGCTCATCGTCTCATGTTGGGAGATAATCAACATATTTTCACTATCTCCTTCTCATTATGGCCAGTACACTCTGGTTACAGGCTGGATTTATGGAACTCTGAGGCCACACTCCCCCTGCTTTGGCCCAGGCCTGTGCTGGAACTGGGTTTAAGTTGAGGGAGCGGATGACAGCGAGAGGGAGGAGGATGACTCGAGAGAAGGATGAAGAGGAAGAGAGAGCTGAACTGTGGAGAAAATAAATATGGAAAGACTAAGAGACAAGGACAAGAGG